TCAGAATCTTTGGAATAACGTGTTTCTTACATATTTCGCACCTTTTCTCTCGTAATCAAGTCGATGTGTAGTTCTAGCCTTGGGTTAGAGTAGGTTACTACAAGAGCTTAGGAACCGAATCTAGCGTTTAATTAGCAAGATTTATCAATCTAGTCTTCTGATGATTCATGAAAACAAATCATAAATCATTTGTGTTCCTTCATTTACATTTCAAAATGTATTCTGGAAACTGTTAATATCTTTGTAATAGAAATTAGGTTTAAACAATACCAATCTCAATATTACTGTTCTATCTTCTTTTAACTAAAACAATGTCAATCTCCTTGATCTATTCCATATTTTTTTCAAAGTACTGTTATTTCTAATTCGTAACAGTGAAAATTATGTTTACTTCGCTACCATCAGATTTCTGATAAGAAAAAAAAAAGCATATCACATGAATCGGCTTGTTCATCATAAACAATACACAATTGAATTTGAACTATGCAAGTGAGCTGATAAAATCTTCTTCAGAAACTTAAAATGTAAGCAATTCCTACCTGATGATGTCATTTAGAAGAATGATGAAAGCTTCATAACCAAACCATCCAGTTCAAAGAAGAAAAAAAAAACTCAATCAGAAACTATTCTATGGTCCAAATAGTCTCAAAAACATCTTTAGAAAAAAACACACTCAAAAATGTAAGTTTAACAATCTCATAGTTCAGACAGATATAAACACAATTATTCATTAGTTTGTCACTTACAGGATAATAAATGGAAATATAAGAAATGTAAAACATCTTTAAACTTGGTATATACTGTAACACTATTATTATCTCTATACTCGGTTTGTACAATGAGTCTACCGATAGTTCATCGAGTGGTCATAAGTGCTGTTGGAAGTATGAGGGCAGTTATCACTTCCCGGTTTACCACACCGTGGAAGGGTTCTTCTGCAGGTACATGAAAAAGAAATTGGATTAAAGGTGGTCTTGTAAACATGAAAGCATGATTGCAGTACCCAAGGGACAACTGCCTGAGGTCGGTCACATACAACCTTTTTGTGGGTAATTTTTGTGTTAGCTCCGTACTCGTTGAGACCTTACCACCGGAAACGGATATCCGTGGGATAAGGCAAGGTGTGTATTTTTAGGGTTACTAATTTCTAGTCTGAGCCGTGTTTGGAGATACAGACTACTTGATTGGAGTCCGCATGACTATCGTAAACAATGGTTGGAGACCCTAGATGACATGGCTCAGAATCGATCACAATAGTGTAGGTGTATACACTCTATGTTTTCCCTTAAACTAAGAGAGTAAAATCACTTCATATCTTTCTTTCTACGAACTAATTCTTTCTTCCTGTACTATGTCCTGATATGCAATCTTTTTTTATATATTAACACCATTGAGGTGACTACTTCTATAAATTTGATATTCAACTTGCTGTACTTATGAGATGTGGCAACTTGGACCGATGAATATATATGCTTGATCCTACGTTGTAGCTGATTGACTACAGATAGTTCATAATCTACAGCTCTCTGTGACTACAAATTAGAGTAATTTATCAATCTGAAGCTCGAAACTTCAGTTTATATTACAGGATACAGGATACTTTTTTAGTTACCTAGTGATTATGGACGTCATGTCGAAATGAAACAAAATGCTATAAAATACGATTGTTTTTGATTTGAAACAAACTGAGCACATAAATCTTTATTTTGATCTTCGTATAATTGTGCTACTTAATGTTATTAAGTAGTACAAAATGGTTACAGTACGTTTTTGTTTGTACAAGTTGTGCAAACAATTGATTCACTTCACAAATTCAAATCAAGAAGACTGTCAATATTTACAGAATATGATATGAATTGATCACCTTACTTTCTCTTCAGGTACACACAAACTCATCAGTTCAATTAATTCCAATCATTAGTATAATATAAACAATCATTTGTCAATTGGTTGAGGTTACAAATTAACACCGTTGGATGCCGGCCGGTTCAGTGATTTAGAAATCACTGGGTTCGAATGCCGCGAGTGGGGTCGTGAATGCGCACTGCTGATAAGTCCCATAATCGGATAAAACGACCGTCCAGTGTATCCAGGTGTTGAATGGTGGCCTAACATTAATCGGTTAATGATCTCAACCTCTACAACCCCATACTGATAATAACAAATAAGTTGTGTGTAATTTGTAAGTTTTAAGAAAGAAATTCTGTTTATAAATGCTTGATATATCTTTGCTTCTTAACGATATTCTTTTTATGGGGAACAATTGAAATGATTGACTAACATTCACAACTTATATTCATGACGCACATACAACTCATGTAGTTACTAAGATCTGATATTGAGATGCATAATGAATATTCATATTCGATTAAACAATGAATATCATAGACAACCAGATCATGTAGCTATGACATCACCATTGAATTCCTATTTCCGCAGATCTTTTTATTACAAAACAGGTCAGTGGATCGTTCAAAGACATAACCAGTCAGCTAAAGTTCTACTGTCCCTACACACATCATAAATATATAGGAAATGAGTGTTTGTTCAATATTACCCATTTTCACAGTTCGATACCAATCAGATATAAAAGGCATTTGATTTGTTTTTTTTTTTAAAATCCCCACTCATTGTACTAAGATGTTTCACATTGATGATACTACCAAGTATGGATTAAATCATACCCATATCCTTCTTAATGAGAACCATCATCCCATTAAGCTTATTAACCAACATGTAAAACAGAAAAATATCAGATTGATGATAACCATGGTTCAGAAGAAGTTATTTTTCTTAAAAACAATGCTTCCAGTGAAACATTACGCATAAAAACACTCACTACAATCAAACTGAATGTGAGTTTTTATTACAATTGCCTGGTATTGAAAACCATTAAGAAAGATAGACCGCCTTAATTTGCCGGTTGCTTACATTGAGTAATAGAACAAATATTCTGGAATTTCAGGAAAGAAAAAAGAAGGATTATAAGTTCGATTCACCACATTACATTTACAACTAACAGTGTTAATGTCTAACTTCAACAAATCCACGAAATTGTGCAATCATCTTCCATTGTACTGAGGTAGAAGATATCTGTCTCTACTTGACACGGATTAAATTCACTGGTCACGGTTTCTCACTAGAACTCCGAGAATTCCCTTACGAAGCAAATCACTAGTGAGCACATGGTAATTATCAGTATGGGGTTGTGGAGATTATTAAGTCTTTTAGTTAACATAAAATTGAACTGAAATCGAACAGTTGTTGAACTAAACAAAAAGATTTCGTCTGAAATATTTAAGTTTCATTGGATATATTCATTAAAATAAGTAGATGTTGAAGTTTCTGTAATTATTGTAGCATGTATAACAGAATCAACTTTACAATCGGGAGCCCAGAAATTCTCTAATACGGCCGATAGTGAGGAGAGTCAGTTCTCCCTCTCGAAATGCTCTCACATGGTCACGCAAATACAGCCACTACCATGGAAGTCCTACTCACTGCCTTCTCGTGGCGAAGGTGTTGTTTGAGAAATTTAAAGAACGAAAAGCGAATGTCTGATGCTTTAACCGAGTTGGTGGATATGGAGCAGCCACCTAGGGGAGTTGGAAATCCTGATTCCAAATCAATGCTGCACATGGGCTTCAGGATCCTGAAGGAATAAATGACGTATTAACCAATCGTTGATCACTGTCTACCATGGGACTACATCTCTTAACGTTGCTTCACTGCCTTGTTGATCAGACCTTTAGGTCGAAGGCTCTTGGTGTGGCCTCCTAAGAAAACCACCTGCTTCAGTTTGGGCACCCGGACAGTATCGTTTCTATAACATTCATTCACTGTTCATGTTGACTTTTCTTTGATCTTCTTAACCTTTTTGCCACCAGACATTTCACTTTTGATTAATGATACATACTACTTTTATCTGTTGACATCAGCAGCATACAGCACAAATGGTAGAGTTTTTTTCACTAAACTATATTTATAGTCTATAATGTAAAAACTGTGAATGTTTTGGCACTGTCTACTTTAGGTTTCACTATCAATTTAATATTATGGTGAACTATATGGAAAGATCCAAGTATTTTATTTACATGATTTACGTCATTCCATAATCAAAATGTATCAGAGATGACAGGTGATAATTTCGTTCTCTCCGAATTTCCAACAGCTATGTTGGTAGGAACAAATACTGAAAGAATAATCACCGCTACACCATCTCTATGACAGTACCGTTCATTATTAAATTAATACTAAGAGTTATTAGTGCATAGTCTCATTAACTGTTTGAGTTGTATGTGTGTCATGGATATAAGTTATGAATTTAGGTCAATCATGTCAATTGTTTCCCATTAAAACAATATTGTTAAGAAGCAAAGGTAATATGAAGTAGTTATAAACAGAACTTCTTTCTTAAAACTTCAATTCTTTAATTCTTACACACTACACACATTTATTCATTTATTTGAACACATAAATATTGGTACAAAGGGGCACCAAATACATATGTGCCATACAAGTTACTTGATTTGTGTATGTGGCTTATGATACTGTCCAGGTGGTCAGACTGAAACAGGTGGTTTTCATAATTGGCCACACATCAACCCTTAGACCTAAAGGTCTGATCAACAAGGCAATGAAGCAATGTCAGGAGATGCAGTCCCATGGTAGCCAGTGATCAGCGATTGTTTCATATCTAATTTTACTCAGGATACTGGAACTCATGTGCACCATTGATTTGGAATCAGGATTTCCAACTCCCCTAGGTGGTTTCCCCATATCCCCCAACACGGTTAAAGCATCGGACGTTCGCTTTTCGTTCTCTCAATTTCTCTAACAACACCTTTGCCACAAGAGGGCAATGAGTAGGACTTCCATGGTAGTGGCTGTATGAGCGTGACCATGTGAGAGCACTTCAGGAGAGAGAGAGAGAGAGAAAGAAAGCTGACGCTCCCCAACCTCGGCCGTACCAACGCACTTGTTATGGATTTCACAAATGAATGTTAACATTATATGATGATGATGATGATGATGATGATGATGATGATGATGATGATGATGATGATGATGATGATGATGATGATGATGATGATGATGATGATGATGATGATGATGATGATGATGATGATGATGATGATGATGATGATGATGATGATGATGATGATGATGATGATGATGATGATGATGATGATGATGATGATGATGATGATGATGATGATGATGATGATGATGATGATGATGATGATGATGATGATGATGATGATGATGATGATGATGATGATGATGATGATGATGATGATGATGATGATGATGATGATGATGATGATGATGATGATGATGATGATGATGATGATGATGATGATGATGATGATGATGATGATGATGATGATGATGATGATGATGATGATGATGATGATGATGATGATGATGATGATGATGATGATGATGATGATGATGATGATGATGATGATGATGATGATGATGATGATGATGATGATGATGATGATGATGATGATGATGATGATGATGATGATGATGATGATGATGATGATGATGATGATGATGATGATGATGATGATGATGATGATGATGATGATGATGATGATGATGATGATGATGATGATGATGATGATGATGATGATGATGATGATGATGATGATGATGATGATGATGATGATGATGATGATGATGATGATGATGATGATGATGATGATGATGATGATGATGATGATGATGATGATGATGATGATGATGATGATGATGATGATGATGATGATGATGATGATGATGATGATGATGATGATGATGATGATGATGATGATGATGATGATGATGATGATGATGATGATGATGATGATGATGATGATGATGATGATGATGATGATGATGATGATGATGATGATGATGATGATGATGATGATGATGATGATGATGATGATGATGATGATGATGATGATGATGATGATGATGATGATGATGATGATGATGATGATGATGATGATGATGATGATGATGATGATGATGATGATGATGATGATGATGATGATGATGATGATGATGATGATGATGATGATGATGATGATGATGATGATGATGATGATGATGATGATGATGATGATGATGATGATGATGATGATGATGATGATGATGATGATGATGATGATGATGATGATGATGATGATGATGATGATGATGATGATGATGATGATGATGATGATGATGATGATGATGATGATGATGATGATGATGATGATGATGATGATGATGATGATGATGATGATGATGATGATGATGATGATGATGATGATGATGATGATGATGATGATGATGATGATGATGATGATGATTGATGATGATGATGATGATGATGATGATGATGATGATGATGATGATGATGATGATGATGATGATGATGATGATGATGATGATGATGATGATGATGATGATGATGATGATGATGATGATGATGATGATGATGATGATGATGATGATGATGATGATGATGATGATGATGATGATTGCATGAACAGTGATTATTTTTTTTTATCAATCAAACAAATGATTAACTGTTACTTAATGTCCTCGATTCATATCATGACAAGATTATTTACACACATATAAATTATTTGTCTTCTATTTATAATGAATATTCTTTTCGTTATTTATTCTTTCGGTTCACTATCCTAACTGTACAGAGTATTTAAGCCGTTCATTCTTTCATTCTATGTTTTTTTTTCTTTTCGAACTTCTTGAGAATACTGTCAATTGAACTGAACTCGATGTTATTATCATCTGTCTTTCTGTTTGTTTAGTTTTTTTGGAATTAAATTTGACATATTCATTAACTATTGAGTTCAATATTATTTTGTTTAATATAGATTGGTGGTAAGAAATTAGTTTCTATTCGTTTTATAAAATTATGTGCTAGTTTTGTTTTCTGACCAGACACTAAATGTTGACCTTAAACACACGGAAACTAAGTCAGATATAAACAATTAATTACCCGCATTATTTGAATCACGTGTTTACTATTATTATTATTATTATTATTATTATTATTATTATTATTCAGAATTGAATATTGACTTGTTTTATTACGGTTGAATCTAAAGATTATTTATTAATTATCAGATTGAGAGGTTTTGTGGAGATTTTAGTCAATTAAAACTAGATCATCACCTGGAAACATTAAACGGCCGATTCATTCTAGTATGGGACTTCTCAGTAGTTCAGGACCTTTAGTCTTGTACGCAAACGCTTAACTTTTAGATCAGTGCCCAACAACTGTACATTGCTTCCAAGTTTTCCATATGTTAATTGATTGTTATTAAAAAAGAGATCGAATAAGTATGGACTGATTACATAAGTAGTTTAGTGATCTATCATACAAAAAAGGATTGTCCAGTTTATAATAAACAGTTTAAAATATTAATAGTAATCATATGGTCCCTAGTGAGTAAATATGAGACAAGTTTTCTCTTGAGAAGGTGTAACCGATGCAGTTCAATAATGTCTGGTATGACATATGTAGCATTGATGAATACAGATGATGGTCTTTCACTAATTATTATTAATTATAGTTTAAGATCTAAACTGTTATGTGTCATTTCAATGGTATAAAAACATTTGGAGTCTCAGTTAGTGAATCAGAGATCTGGAGGTAGAGTTCCATGATAGATTACGATCCTGTATTACTGAGTTATTTCAAACTAAGACTAAATTGCTAACAACTGATTTTCGATAACCAATACTTGTTTAACTAAAAAAAGTATTTTTTTAAATTGAAATCATGAACTGATCAACAGTAGATCACCATTGGAAACCTGAGATTACTGGACAGTTTTTTCGTCCTAGTATGGAAATCCCCAGCAGTTCGTATCCACTATCCCGCATGCGGGACTCGAGCCCAGGACCTTCACTATCGTGCGTGAACGTTTAACCTCCAGACCTATAATATAGCACCCAGCGATAGTCTAGTGCTTCCAAGTTTTCAATGGTGGTCTAACATTGATCATTTCATGATCTTAATTAAAAACTCAACAATCTTTACAATCCTATAATGATAAACGTAGTCTGTGATAAATACTATACAATCTTGGTATTTTTGAACATTTTAACAGGAATTAGAAGACATTACTGCATGACATATTTGTTTATCCAGTAGAATAATATGTTATAAATTCATTCAGCTAATGTTTCAGTATTGACTGAAATCATACTTACGAGTAATATTACTCTGATTATATAGTTATAACATTTTATATCAGTCTAGTTTATACCAACCAAGTGAATTTAAACTTCAACTCATTGCACAAGCAAGTGGCTATCAAGACCTAGTGGCTAAGTGGATAACGCGATGACGTTTGGAGCGAACAGTGCTGGATTCGATCCCTGGAGTGAACGTCAACTCTGGGATGCAGGTACATCCAGCTGACGAGTCTTAAAGAAGACGAGACGCTCGTTCTGGATTCCTCTGCTAGCCACTATCCATATTTGCTTAAAACAGCCAAGTTTATATTTAGGATTAAATCTTGTTGTGGTGGACGAGAACACAAGTGTGGACAACCAAATATATTTGAATACAAAATTACAGAATACCTTAGTAAAATCTGAGAATCATACAGTGAATACTTCACTTGAAAAATATCAATCAGTTGTCTCAGACTTTATTGTTCCTTCATTTACACACCACTCATTCTTTGTTCTCTTTCTCTTTTCCTCGATCTTCTTAATCTTCTGCCTCTTGTTGTAACGTGTGACCGCAGTTTATGGATGGAGCAGCGTTTTATTGTTCGATTCAGTGACACAGAAAACACGTACGGACGACCTAGAGTCCCGATCGGTCCTGCTTCCCTGTCTAGCCCAGTCAATTGAGTCCAGTACACAAGTCTTAGCCTCTGAGATATGAATCATTAGATTTCAAACACACTCTGTTTATATACTAATCAAGCAGACCACATCGTACCATAAAATAGAAAATAACATTGTACAATATTGACCAGTAGGAAAATGACACGTGAAATAAACATTGACCAATGAGGAAATGACACCATCTCAAGTCCAAGGATAGCGTTAGACTTAACAGAATAATTTTTGGAATATTTTCCTGAATATCCCAACACCTCTAAACATTTCATTTTCGATTAATGATACATACTACTTATATTTATCGAAATAAGTAGCATACACCATATTCTTAGTTATGATAAACGCCAATCACATTTCACTATTCCTAAGAATGTGCTAATCAAAGAGTAATGATTTGAGAGTTAGATCATAATAGACTGGATGTTAAATATGTTGATCAATCATTAAATAGTGAATTCATAGTATTACTCAAGTACAATACTTTTATAACATTGTTGCCAACTGTAGTGAAGATAACATAGAATCTATTGTAATGAAAACGAACTAAATGAACAATGACAATACAATGATAGTTTAACAAAGTAGAATGAAAAGAATCCATCTATGAAGAGAGTTTGTTTATGTCTGAGACATTAACAACAGTAGAATCCATTAAATGAATAACTAATAGAAGAAACAGACGTAGACTAGAGGGGTTAATAATGTTCTTAAAATATCATTGTTCGAGTTAAAAAATAAAATACTGTTATGTCAGTAGTGATACAGTCACTCATAAATGGGATTAAACGTGGTCACTAGTGAATAGATTCGTGAGGGAATTCTTGGAGTTCTAGTGAGAAGCCGTGATCAGTGGAGCTAATCCGTGTCGGGTAGAGACAGGTATCTTCTACCTCAGTACAATGGAAGATGATTGTACAATTTCGTGGATTAGTTGAAGTTAGATAATAACACCATCGGATGCCGGCCGACTCAGTGGTCTAATGACTAAGCGCTCGCGCGTCAGACTGATAGGTACTGGGTTTGAATCTCGTGAAACAGGATCGTGGATTCTCACTGCTAAGATGTCCCACAATAGGCCGAAACGACCGTCCAGTGCTTTCAGGTTTTAAATGGTAGTCTAACATCAATCGGTTCATGGTCTCAATGAATGATTGATTTAGAATGTAGATAAGATTGATGGGTAATAGTTTCATTTTCATGTCTAGTCGTGGTGTAATGTGTCGAACTAAAATGAAATAACTATCAAGTAAATCCTTGTTTTTATTGATCCTTTGTTTATAATCACTCCATAACACAGAAAATTCACTGGTTAACAGAATTACTAAGGTATTGTACTGTGATTACAATGTCATATGTCACAATAAAAAGGCGATTATTGATTATAACCAAAACCTAATATTTAAAGTTTTGTTCATGGATTAGTTGAAGTTAGATATTAACACCGTTGGATTCTGGCTCATTGATCTGGTGATTAAGTGCTCGCGTACTAGACTAATAATTCCTGGGTTCAGATCCCATGAGGCCAGATCGTGAATCCACACTACTGAAGAGTCCAACAATAGGATGAAACGATCGTTCAGTGCTTGTAAGTTTTTCACGGTAATCTAGTTTTAATTGACTCATCATCTCAATTATTGAATGTTTTATTCATTTAAATAAAACTTACATTTTTATTAATTACCCAATCAGATTGATTTTTCAAAGATGATTTTTCATTTGGATATATTTGTTTATTCTTTATGGTATTATTTGTCTTGGAATTCTCTTGTTCTGAATTACTATACTTTGTTTGAACTGAAAAAAAAATGAACGAAACAAAAAAAAGATTCTTTCAAATTAAATCTTTTTTCCAGTTAACATTAGATATAAATCCTTAATGATAGTAATTACAACAAAGTTCGAGACCGTTAGATCCTTTGTTCGAATCTCACGAAGTGAGATGGTGAATGTGTTCACAATTGATTGGTCACTGGGTGGTAATCAATGTCATGCTTGTTTAGTCCTTATTAGTGCAGATCGAATGCTATCGATCATGTTGCAATGTGGCCACCAGTCTAGGTGACTCGACACTGCGGGCCACATTGCAACATGATCGATAGCATTCGATCTGCACTAATAAGGACTAGACAAGCATGACATTGATCACCACCCAGTGATCAATCAATTGTGATTACATCTCAGTCCTACAGGAGGTTAGTCACGGGTCGGATAGCTTAGTAGTAACGTCTCTGACCGTGAAGCTGGGTGACACGAGATCGAATCCACCAGGGAGCACCAGTTCCCTCAAGATTACAGGTACACCTTGCTGACGAGTGCCAAGTAGCACGAAACCTGGGTCCAGGGTTTCCTATTGACTACCTCCAACCACCATCTAAATGGTGGATGTGTATTGCTGAAGAGTTCCATACTAGAATGAAACGATCATCCAGTGCTTGTAGGTTTATCATGGTGATCTATCTTTAATTGACTCATGAATTCAACTATTGAGTTATTATAATATCCACAAAACCTCTTTCTGATTATAATAATTATCTTAAGTTATTTGAGCGAGACTATAATTTATGGACGAATCAATTAAGATTAAGGATAACAAAATAGCGTTTTCGGCACTTTAACTGATGTCAATTCGTGATGAAAACTATAAACCCAGTTGCTAATTGTAACCACCAAATGTAAACTATAATCCCCATACTTCAAACGGCTTTGTAACTCTCATTTAGCCTTATTAAGTAGGTGGACATTATTTAGGTCACTATGGTGTCGCTAAAAGGTCATCCATAAATTATAGTCTCACCGTTATTTGTTTAATACGTAGATTAGTATCAGAAGCGGTTTTGTAGAGATTGTAGTAATTTCATTAGTTGAGATCATGGGTCAATTGAAACTAGACCACCATAGAAAACCTAGAAGCATTGGACGGCGGGGTTGTGTATGCACACTGCTGAGGAGTTCCACAATAAGACGAAGGGGCTGTCCAGTGCTTTCAAGTTCTCCATGGTGGTCTAACATCCATCGGTTCATGATCTCAACTATTAGAATTACTATTATATCCACAAAAACCCCTTCTGCTATTAATCATATATAGTCTGGATGAATTTTAAACAGGCTCAATCTCTCTGAAATAGTTTGTACGCAAATATAAACTCTTGTCTTGTAAAACAACTCATTTTTTACTGCACATTATACAAATCTTCTCTTTTCTAAAATTATAACGAAGAAGAAATGATGGATAGTGGCTAGCAGTGGAATCCAGGACGCGTGTTTCAGTTATCAGGACTCAGTAGCTAAGTGGATAACGAGGTGACGTTTGAAGTGAATGGTACTGGGCTCGAGTACCAGAGCGAACATCAAGTCTGTAGATGTAGGTACATCCAACTGACGACTCCCAAATGAGATTAAACGCAGGTCCTGAATTCCACTACCAGTCACTATCCATCTTTGTTTATGAAGCTTGTAACTTAAGGCTATATTGAGGCAATACGCACAGTATGCACATATACCAATAGGAGACTAATCAATTGCAGTACTGAACATCAATGGGGAGATTCATGTAAACAATACCAAACGGAGAAGAAACGGATATTTTAAAGGTTCTATAATGACGGTCGGTTACACTCTTTTCAAGGTGATGAATATTCACTTGTATGTGGTGTGTACGTTGTTTACTTTCAATAAAAACTTATTATAACAATGGGGATCTATTAAGTGGATATGTGCCACATAAATCATTCGATTTGTGTGACGGCTGGAATACTGCCCGGGTACCCAAGCTGAAACAGTTGGTTTACTTAGGAGGCCAGACCCCAAGCCTTCGACCTAAAGGTTTGGTCAACAAGGCAGTGGAGTAACATTAAGAGATGTAGTCTCATGGTAGCCAGTGATCAATAATTGATTAATACGTCATTTGTTCCTTCAGGATACTGGATCACATGTACACCATTGATTTGGAATCAGGGTTTTCCAACTCCTCTGGGTAAACTCTCCGTCTCCACCAACTCGGTTAAAGCGTCGGATATTCGATTTTCGTCCTCTGAATTTCGTAAACAACACCCACGGTGCGAGAAGGTAGTGAGTAGGAGTTTTGTGGTAGTGGTTGTATGCATTTGGCCACGTGAGAGCATTTGCAGAGGGAGGGTTGTCTCTTCCCACTCTCGGCCGTATAATATATACATATGTTATGACCAGGCATAAAAGAGTGAGAAATTTGTTTTATTTTTTATATCAAAATAAATATCCGGAAATAATAATGATCCTACGTATACTAACCCTAACACGAATTCGAGAATAACTTTTATAACACAATTCTAAAATTTCACTACTTTTCTTATTGAGAAAACTGTGATAAACTTTTGAAAGGTTTCGATACAATTTCTTTGATTCGACTATTGAATACATGATATACCAACAGATGTAAAGTTAATACAGTGAGACCTTATTCCATTCCACTACATGATAATAGACATTAAACTTTTTTATGATCACTCATAGTTGTCGATGTTTATTACTATAGTAAGAGCACAAACTATAAATGAATTGGATTGTAGATGTTTAGTACAAATGGACCTTAGGATTCTGGAAAGTTGATGATAATCCCTTATTTCCTAACTAATCAGATATTAGTATGATATCAGTACGAACTGATCAGTGTTAGACCGTCTCGTCCCAGTACGAGACTCTCTTTACCAGTGAGCATCGACGACCCCACTAGCCGGGATCGAACTCAGGATCGTTGGTCCCGTGGGCAGACACTTAGCCTCAAGACTAATGATCCGGTGTCCACTACTGTTAATGTCTAACTTCAATCAATCCACGACATTGTACTACCAACTTCTATTATTTTCAGTGGGAACCTTACTTACACCTAACACGATTGAACTTCATTAATAACGGCTTCTCACTAGAACTCCGAGAATTATTTCTAGCAGCTAGTCAGTAAGTGAGTACATGGTAATTATCAGTACACAGTTATTGAGATTGTCGAGTTTCATTGAAATTTATTTTAAATTGCCGATATTATATGTTTACCTCACGTACTCATGTACATTTACAAATTGATGATAAACTATTGCGAAGTCCAGAAATCCAGAATTCAGGCGGAAAATCCACAGTACTTGATATATTTTCCGTTTTATTCGATTCTTTGGAAAGACGGGAGACAGCTGAATTAGCATTAATGAATTTTATACATCATGAGAGGTAAATGAATATAATAAGAGCGAAATTGGTTGAAAACGCTTGTTATTTACTTACACCTGTTACCCCTCATGAAGGAGCATAGACCGTTTACTAACATTCTCCATCCAACTTTGTCTTGAACAATCCCTTCCACTTGTTTCCAGTTGCTATTCATTCCTTTGATATCTGCTTCCAATTCCTAATCCAATGTGTTCCTTGGTCTTTCTCATTTCCTTTTCCCTTTAGAATTCAAAGTGAGTGCTTGTCTCTTGATGCAGTTTGATTATTTCAGAAATGTACGTCCTATCCACCTGCAGCATCTTCCCCTACTCTGCTCTTCAGTTGGAATCTGGTTTGTTCTCTCCCACAGTAGACTGTTGTTATTGATGGTATCCAGTCAACGAACATTAAGTATTCTGCATAGACAATTGTTTACAAATACTTGTTGCTTTTTGATGATGGTTGTGGTAGTTGTCGAGGTTTAAGCTGAGTACAGTGGAACTCTTTTGACGTTCGTATGGAAGATTTTTTACTTTGATATTGGTTGACAATTATTTTGAGTTCCATATGTTCACTTGTATGAATGCTGTCCTTGTTTTGTCAATCCTCTCCTTGACGTCTGCATCAGATCCTCCTTGTTCATCGATGATGCTGACCAGGTACTTGGAAGATCCCACCTCTTCGAGAGTTTCTCCATCAAGTGTGATTGGGTTGGTGTTTTCCGTGTTGTATTTGAGGGTCTTGCTTTTTGCCTTGTGTATGTTGAGGCCTACTGATGAAGAGGTTGTTGCTACACTAATTATCTTGACCAGTATTTGTTGATGTGTATGGGATAGAAGAGCTAGTTCATCTGCAAAGTCCAACTCGTCTAGTTGTATCCATGCTGTCCATTGTACTCCGTGCATCTGTTGAGACAAGGAGGTCTTCATAATCCAGCCAACCACCAGAATAAAGAGAAAGTGGGAGAGTATGCAGCTTTGTCTGACTCCGGTCGTCACTTAGAATGCATCTGTTAGCAGTCTTCTATGTACAACTTTGCAGTGTAGTCCGTCGTATGAATTCCATATGATGTCGACGATTTTCTCAGGTACACCATAGTGTCGAAGAAGTTTTCATAAAGTCCTCTTATCCACACTGTGAGTAGAAATAAATTGTAGCTAACCAATGTTGAAAACATTTGTATTCATATTATTTTGAATATTTACAAATAAAACGGATGTATGAAGTGAATACCTTGTAGTATCAATTAGAATTCATTATTGTAATACAACACATAATAAACAAAGAAATTAATGAATGAGTGTTATATCTTTCTTTGGTGAACTAAAATATTTCAATCTTTTCCAGTACCAGTCAACATGAGACATTTTTGGCTTTTAGTAACTTAATGTAATGAAGACAGAATACAATCGATTTATTTGGGCTTCGGTCATTGATTAACACACAACTTTTACGAAAACGTATGAGAGGACCGTAATTGTAGTACATTTACCTAAGTTTGTGGACTGTCAATTAACAATTTGAGGATATATATGCTTTTTGGGTGGTACTTCGTTTTTTCGAGGCTCATAAACCGCGGCGCCACGGGTCTTCACATGCGTAATGGCATCGCACGAAAAGAACAACTAAAGAAGTTCGCGAGTTTACTTGCCCTGGATATGTATAGTCTACTTGCGTACTAGTTAACACACAAACTTTCATCCGAGTATCACTATGCATACATGCAGGTATACATACCCTGTGAGCAAATATACGTTACATGCACACCGGTAACATACAGGTTTTAACCCATACATCCCATAGCACATACATAGGTATATTCACCCACCACTCCCAAAGAAAAAATATTTGCCTCACCAGGCTGACTCTTACGCATTACATGCATTTCATTCACACCATGGCTATCGTTCCAGTATTTCTTGACACACACATGCGCATCAGCACTCTCTCAGGCGAGGTTCTTGGTTACCTCTCTCTAGTATTTTCTACCACCTTTTTTTATAATGCCTTCGACCTGATAGATATGCCGTTAATTTTATTAGACATAGGACAGGCCTTTTTTGCAGCTCAACGTTTCCTGTGTACGACGCCACATGCGTACTCTTTGCATAAATCATATACTTGAACGACATAACTCGGAGAACTTCTGCAATTTTCATACATAAACATACACATTGGGTAGCTCGAGCGAGAAGGTAAGCCTCGAGTATAGAATCCAGGATGATCAGTGGGTGGTCGGTCCGATCTCTGCGACTGCCTAAGTTGACTAGCAGGGTTGCCTTCAATATCCAGCAGCGCTAAGAGGAGGCCCTAGGTGATATTTTTGCTGCCTCCTCAATAAGGTTAATGTGGTAATCACAAATTCAGGTTGACGCACACAGGAATTAGAATACAATTCAGTAGTCACCATTTTTCGTTTATTGGTAGAACATTAATAATTTGCTTATAAAGTTAAATGTTTCTTTTAGAAACTTAAATTGCATCAATTTGTTCTGTTTAAACTCCGTAAAGTGAGTTGTGGTACTAAAGGTTTGAGGCGAATTCAAATCACATGATGATGTGACCCAGGAATTCGAACAATACTGAACAATTGTTTCGTCGCAAATCAGTACTCATTAGTGTTGTAAAACCACTGGGCATATAAATTTGACATAGAATCTAGAATTCTGTTAGAAAACGCGACACTATGAACTCACATCATTAAACTTTAGTGGCAGCCAAATGCCCTGATACGGTTGAGGGTGAGAAGAATCAGCCCTCACCCTCCAAACGATCTCACATAGCCACTTGTATACAACCATTGACGGGGAAGTTCTACTCACTACCTTCTTGCTTCACGGGTGTTGTTTACGAAATTCTGTGGACGAAAATCGAATGTCCGGTACATTGACCGAATTGATGGATATGGACAATCCAATTAGGTGAGTTGGAAAACCCTGATTGCAAACCAATGGTGCTCATGGGCTCCAGGATCCTCAGGGAACAAATGTCTATCATGGGACTGCATCTCCTTACGTTGCTCTACTACCTCGTGGATCAGACCTTTAGGTCGAAGGCTCGGAGTGTGACCCCCTATAAAAACCATCTGCTTCGTTCTGGGCGCATTTATCAACTTCAGTCACTTTGTATTGCAACAATTCCTCCATATAATTTGATTTGTGAATTGTTGTCTTATTTACCTATAATAATTGAATTCATGAGTTACTGATTAGGATTAGGATAAAAAAAATGTCAATGATCTACTAGTTTATTGATACTAAACTATACAACTAATTCAGAAATTGTGAATTTAAAGAAGTTTTTGCGAATTAATAAACTTAAACTACAAAGTGAATATTATAATTTTAGTCCAATATGTGACATAGTTAGTTATATAATATACCCTTGTGGGTCAGGGTAATTTTACATTGGTTTACAGGAGAACCAGGCACTATCTACACTTTCACATGACAACCCAAAACAGTACTGCTCAGTCCTGTTTAACAGGAGAGCCAGACACTGCTCAGGCTTAAATTTTATAACCCGAGCAGTACAGCTTAATCCTGCTTCACAGGAGAACCAGACACCGTATAGGCTTTAACGCTACAATCTGAATAGTACAGCTCAATCCTGTGGTGTAACCACACAGGTACCAAGCACCTTGGTGGACCACCAATATGTGACTAGGTGACATAAATCATCATCAATCTCATAAATACATAATCTGTCCGATGAAATCTATAAATGAAATGTTTACATCTTAACTCAGTTGAAAAATGGATTCAATAAAGTATATAATTTACACTTCAATTTGTAAGTGGTAAGAACAAATGAAAATAATTAAAAAGGTATATCAGTATGGGATTGTAGAGATTATTATGTTTTTAATTGATATCATGAACCCGATTTATTTTAGATCACCACTGAAAACCTGGAAGCATTGGATAGTCGTTTCGTCGGTTGGATGTCGTCCGGCTCAGTGGTCTACAGATTAATTATTCGCACACGAAATCCGTAGGTCAATCAAATACTTAATAACCTCTACAACCCTATACTGATTACTGCCATATGCTCACTAGTGACCAGAATCATGAGGGAATTTTCGGAGTTCTGGTGAGAAGCCGTGATCAGTGGATCTAATCCGTATCGGGTAGAGACAGGTATCTACCTCAGTACAATTGGAGATGGTCGCACGATTTCGTGAATTGGTTGAGGTTAGACATTAATATCGTTGGATGCTGGCTTGACGGTCTAGAGATTGTGTTCGAGTGCGAGACTGAAGGTCCTTGGCTCGAATCCTGTGAGCAGGATCGTAGATGTGCACTGCTGAGGATGAAACGGCCATCCAGTGCTCCCAGGTTTTCAATAGTGGTCTGACATCAATCGATTCATGACCTCAATCAAATACTAGGTGGTTAAAAATGTGTATACAATATCTAAAACGTATGAAGTGATCAACGATCATTTTGTGAAGGAATTTAGAAAAGTTGACTATAATTTTCTTACTGTAAGATAGTTCATGATTGATAAAGGATATAATGATAACATTTCTGAGTTCCCAGACTATGTTTGAGTCATAATAAGGTTATTAATACTGACGTGTAAAATACATACAAGTGATGATAAGTTTCGAATGAGAACAACTGTACTTCCTATACTTTACTGTTAGCCGAAATCCATTCATAATAACGAGCGGTTAATCCAACTTGTTTTGTGAATATTTCAGTATCGTCTTAAAATAAACTTCAATCTTTTGAACAGTTTCAATTAATGGTATATAAACTATCATCAAAGATCATATCAAATATGTCACATACATTTCGTATCATAGAGGGATTAACTTCAACACAGATTGAAGCAAAAATTGATTAATAATGAAAACTATGGATCATACTATTTCAATGTTATAATGTAGATGTGGTATCTTACTCCTAGAAACGATCACATATATACACTACCGACAGAGTACTTTATCAAACTAAAATGATTAATATCAGATGGGTTTTTTGGGGATTGTAGTAATTTCAATGGTTAAGATCATGAGTCAGTTGAAGCTAAACCACCATGGAAAACCTGGAAGCACTGAACAGCCGTTTCGTCCCAGTATGGGACTCCTCAGCAGTGCGCATCCACGACCTCACCCTTTGCGAGATTCGAATCCAGGAATATTTCACATACATTTCGTATCATAGAGGGATTAACTTCAACACAGATTGAAGCAAAAATTGATTAATAATGAAAACTATGGATCATACCATTTCATTGTTATCATGTAGATATGGTATCTTGCCCCTAGAAACGATCACACATATACACTACCGACAGAGTACTTTATCAATAATCAATAATCAATAATCAATAAATAATGAATATTACCTTTAGTTTTAAGTTTATAATATTCATCACGATATAATTTCGCTTTATTTTCTGCATGTTTTAATGCATATAATAATATAGAATGATCAATTTTTGATTGTTTTGTTAATTTATTAATATTATGATTATGTTGTTTAATCATTAATGTACGTTTATTACGTTCTATATCAACTTCATTTTTTAATCTTTCTAATATTTTTTTAATATTTATCATTGATAATGATGATGAATCAATATTTGATTGATTATTGATTATTGATTTTGTTGTTGTTGTTGTTGTTGTTAAATGTTGATTATTATTTTTTATTGATTGATTAAAATATGGTTCTGATTGTATTGAAAATGTTGGTGAATTACGTAATGAATTCGATAAAAATTTTTTAGAATTATATAATTTTTCAATATGATTATGATAAATTTTTTGATAATTTGGATTAGGTGATATAAGATCATTACTATTATTAGTAGTATCATTATTATTGTTATATGTAATACTTGATCTATTCATTTTGTTGCTAAAGTGACAACAATAACAACGAAGACAACAAGAACAACAACAACAACAACAACGATAACTACAACGACGATAACAGCAACAACGACACCAGCAACGATGACAACAACAGCGGCAGCAATAACTACGACGACGACAACAACGACAACGACAACGACGACGATAAAAACGACAGCAACAGCAACGACGACGACAACAACAACAACGACAACGACGACGACAACAACAACAACAACAACAAAAACAACGACAACAACGACGAAGACAGCAACAACAACAATAAGTTTGAATCAATAGATTTTTTTTATAAACAAAATTCCAATTTTTTCAATAAATCAATAATGTTTTCGATTATATAATAATAATGATAACAACAATAATAAAACTGATCATTATTGATTATTTAAAATATGTTTTCTCCATTCCTTTTTATATTATTTATTCAAGCAAGATAAATGAAAGAAATAATACCATTTTGGAAAAGGAACATCAGACTATTCGGGTAATCTACCGTTTGTTTTTTTGTTTTGTTTGTTTTTGTTTGTGTGTTTTGTTTGTTTGTTTTTGTTTGTGTGCTTTTGTAAATCATTGTTAAAAACAATGTGCTCATTAATCAATGATGGTAATATAAAAATTTTTTTTCTTTTTACATCTAGAACACTGATTGGTTGGATATATTGTGTTAACTAATAAATATAATAATAAACACTTAACCTATAGGCTTATGTTATGATTGTCTAACTGGAAAAGTTCAGTATATTTTCTAATATAATTCAGCAGCCTAATTAGACTGAATTATCTACATTGGTGACATTGTGATATGTGTTACCGATATCGACAGATATAAATAGTATGTATCATCAATAGAAATTGAAATATCTAGTGGAAGAAGGTGAGATCAGTCAAAGGAAAGAGAACAAGAACAGAGAATGATTGGTGTGAAGACAAAAGAACACTAAATTCTGAGACAAATGATTAACATATTGCAAATGAATTATTTACTTTAAGATTTTACAAAGATGTCCTGTAATTTTGTACTCAAATACATTCGATTGTCCCTATTAGTGTTCTCGTTCACTATAACACCGCATTAAGAAAATAAACAAGCTATCTAATTTTTTGGTTTATTTTATCTCTAAGAAGTAACTCTAATTGCCATCTAATTATGAGCACTAAATTTTGTGAGTAATCAAACTGGGTTCTTTTTTGTGTAATTGGTGGAAATGAAGTTGCTGCTAATATTTTGAAACACATATAACGATTTATTAGTTGTCATTTGAAATTGGTGAAACTTTGTAATTGTAATTATATTTAACATTTAGTTACTGTTCAATGACTTCTATTTTAAAATTACTCAATAAGTCTAGTCAATTATCCTTCGTTTAATATCAGAAGGGGTTCTTTGTGGATATTATAGTAATTTCAATAGTTGAGACCATGAGTTAGTTGAAACTAGGCCACCATGGAAAACCTGGAGGCATTGTGGAGTTGTTTCGTTCTATTGTGAGACTCGTAAGCAGTGCGCATTCACGATGCCACCCCATGGGATTCGAACCCTGAACCTATCGGTCTTGCAAGCGAACCACTGAGCTAGCTGGCATTGAATGGTACTATTGTCTAACTTCAACTGATCCACGAAATTACTATAATATTGACAAAAACCACTTCTTATATTAATCAACATAAGTTCACTAGTGACTGGCTTCAAGAGGTATTTCCTGGAGTTCTAGTGAGAACCGTGACCAACGGAGTTCAACCGGGTCTGTTGTGAGATAGTAACTCATTGAAGACAGTGGTGAATATGTTGCTCAATTTCATGGATTAGTTGAAGTTAGACATTAATACCATTGGATACCGGCCGACTCAGTGGTCTAGGGGTTAAGCGTTCCTCTGCGAGACTGATAGGCCCTGGGTTCGACTCTCGTGAGGTGGTATCGTGAATGCGCACTGTTGAAGAGTCCTGTACTAGGACGAAACTGCCATCTAGTGCTTCCAGGTTTTTCATAGTGGTCTGCCTTCAGTTGACTCATGATCTCAACTATTAGGATATCCTTAGTTTAATTAAAATTACTTGACTTCTTGATTAGTTATAATTCTCAAAATTGTCTCTCACACTGCAAAGAACAAATTTTTGATTTATGCTGTAATTTTCGTATCATCAACAGAGTTTCATAAGAACTAATTGATTAGTTTGCTAACTGGGCTTCAACTATCTATAGTATTAATTAATTGAAGAAATGAAGGAATACTTGATCCTTTACACTCCAGCCCAGCTAATTAGAAGAAGAAGAAGAAGACTAGAGTTATCAGGGAAAACAGAATTCCACAAGCATCCCAGAAAAACAAAAGGCAAGCACTTGATTCATACGTAATGTATACAATATAAAAATGTCATTAAAAAGCGTCATAAAATAGCGTACCAAAAGCGAAAATGAACCAATGACGCTTTAGATCCATCCAGATGGAAAACACGAATTGGAAGTGATCATAACCACTTTCGGTAGGAAAATGGAAAATTCAAACTTCCATAGTTAAATTACGAAAATAAAAAGTTAACTAAGTGATCTCTGATGACCTAGCATCTCCAAAATTATATAAGTATTTTTTAAGAGGTCAGAAACTGTTTTTATACATTGTAGCGGTAAATGAACCCCCAAAATAAAGAGCTCTGTAAATTTCCGACATTGAATGCTGACCACATTAGTTTTAATGGACTTACCTAGCTGAAGGCGCTCGGTCATTCATTCGCACAAGATCACGAGTGAGGATGCCGTACTCAACATCCCCTGCAATCGCTAGTCAGGTTAGATCAGTCGACCCACAGTATATTGATAGCCTATCAAATATATCTTCGAACCTCCTTGCTACTGTCTTTTGATTTCACTTGGTGGGTGCGATTCATAGTAGGTGTTACTCGTTAAAGCGTTGTCAAACTCCGAATACCAGTGGCATCTTCAACATGATAAATATTTCAAGTATTAAAATGAATCATAAATACAAAACAGTTGTGGGGGTTGGTATTCAGTATAATCCCTAAACTTCGTATACAGTTTGTCTTGATAACCGTCACTAGATAACACCCCAGCGGTATATTATTCAGAAGGCAAACGCGAAGTGTTGATTACGTTTATTATGGGGCCACACACAGATATCCAAAATTACAGGTGCGTTAAGCAAGCATGAAAGAGTTGTGCCGAAAAGCAAGCAGGCCTCCGCAGCTTTTTTGTAGGACAGTACTGTCATTTATTTGTTTCTTCTTCCCGTCGTGTATTTTAACCTTTGTTCACATCTCGTTTAACCGGACCTTTTGTTCTTTAATCTTCCTCGTCTGAGCCGTTATTATGTGGTTTTGATTAAATATTTATCTCTTGTTTCCTAATTTCTTATTGCATGTTGCTGGACTATTGGCAGTAAGGTCGTGTTTGATTAATCTCAAGTTCACGGAGTTGTTCAGCGTGTGGCTCTTTACTTTTTGACTGTCTGCTTAGGAGGATTGCTGGAATTCCATCTGGTCGGGAATATTTTTATTGCTTCTCAGGTATCGATACCTTTGGTATTAACTATTTCTTTTATTGTTTAGCGTACTACTTTGCGTTACAGAAACTTCTGGCTGCATAGCACAGGCTGTACTGCTTGAGGTATTTTGTATTTTTGATATAATGTGTTCTATTCCCTGAATTAGAAACGTTTAGATTGAGCATAGAGTTTGTGTTTTGAGATAATTTAATACGAGTATCTCAAAAACGCTTGGTACGCTATACAGAAGAATGTAGTGTGGCCTATTCAAATAAATTTTGGTTCGTCAGTCCTGCATTCAAACTGAATACTGGCAGTTTGGTCTTTACATAGATATTCAACGTTTAAAGTGGAGAAAAACCCAACGATAGAGAAAACGGGAAAAATGGAGTGAGTTAATTCAAATTAAATGGATGGTATGGATCGGCCTTGCAGGCGTGGTCTTATGTAAAATTATTTTTATCCATTTTTAATATATTGCTCTATCTCTAGTCTAAACGTGTTTCCGCCATATATTAATAATTGTCACGATGCGATAAATCAGGGTAGACAATAATGTGACTTCCATGTAAGATCTTATAGATTAGGCATTTACATCATAACAAATCTACGATTTTAAGATTAGGTCTTTTATTTGAGCAGTGCCATAATTCTACATCTTCTCTTTACTGACTATTTCTTTTTTAAGCTTTAGAAATGTGAAGTGAACAATCAAGTAATGCTTAGGAACATCAATATAATCGGATATTCAATGGAATAGTCATTATATAATTACTACTTTGTAGTTTGTGAAAACAAAAAGTAATTAGAAATTGTCACTGTTTACAAGTGATTAATCACTGTGTAGTGACGTGTCAATGTTCTATAAAAAAAGACGTTTACAAGTTATTTGTCCCATAGACTGGTTATATATGAATTGATTTAGTCTTTGCATTAATTGTGCTTCATCGAAAAATCTCGGATTTTTATACATTTATTGCTTTTATCAAGGGATATATAAGATATTTTGTAAGCGGTTAACTAATGATCCACAATTGAGATTGATATATCAAGCAATTTTGTTTCTGAGTTTATGTAAAAATCTTTATAGTGAATAGAATGTAGGTAACTCAGCAATAAAGAGTAAGAATTTTGATCACTGTCGGTCAGCCCAGGTCAGTCAGATTCAAGTGTATTGTGTACTTTGAAAGAATGAGATTAAAACCCACTTTACAGATATCCATACCAAAGTTGGACCTGATAGTTTCAAATAAATTGGGCATTGGGCATTTGCATTGTTTACTTTTTACTACTTAAACTTGTGTTAATCTAATGTTTGGTCCATCACGGTGTTTCGATTGAACTACACTATTCAGACTGTAGCGTTAAAGCCTATATGGTGTCTGATTCGCCTGTGAAGCAGGATTGAGCTGTACTGCTTGGGTTACAAAATGTAAGCCTGGGTGGTGTTTGGCTCTCCTGTTAAACGGTATTGAGCAGTACTTTCTTGGTCGTCGCGCGGAAGTGTTGATGGTGCCTGGTTCTCCTGTAAACCAATGTAAAATTACCCTGACACACAAGTGTATATTATATAATTTATATAAATAATTTAATGTCGGTTATCTATTTACTTTAAAGAAATAGCTTACATTATGTCAGGAAACACCAGAAATGCAATTTTCCAACTCATTGGAATATAACAAAATATGTATTTATTATTAAAGCACACTTTGTATGATAATCCGAAAATATTTACTTCAACGTCGAATACCAGAGAACGTAAGGATCTAAGCTCTTCTATACTACTGATTACGAGCGTGAGTATAGTTCACAATAGATAATATGTAGTGTGACGGAGACAGTAGTTAAAATAAATGACGGACACATACTTATGTACAAGAAAGTCTCGTAAGCACAGAAACACAAGGACATAGAAATAAGATGTTTGTGTTTTGAAGGGCATCGTTTTCTATGAAAACAAAAGAGGTAATACGAAATAGAAATGACTTAATAGTCACATGGACTTTGAGTTTCTAAAGTATGTTCAAAAACTAGGATGAATAGTTCGTGTGTAATAGCATCAGATACACAGGTCTTCAGCACTGCAATCTGCGTTGCTGCTGATTTACACAGATTGGCCTCTTTATGAAGGGCCATTCAGAAAATATAACTTTTCATTGACGTTGTATTGCATTTGAAGAAAGGTTTCAATCAGGATAAAAAGTTAATGCTTCCGAAAAATCCAAATCCACCTTGAGGTAAGGTGGAAAACAGTGGATGTTCAATATATTCGTCATTTTTTTACACGGCGACCGAGAAAAAATGAATCAAGTGAGAACTAGAATACTAATGTTCATAAACATATGTGAAATTACATGGACCAACTAGTATTTACATTGGTAACAAAATACCAAAGTGTAATAGGACTGAGTAGACACAATTTCATCAAATTTTAGTTGTGTTTCCGGGACAATATCAGAATTACACTCGTTCACTAATGCACTGAACTTATATTGAAACTGGTACCATAAATCACACTCGGTTTTATTAGAATGGAAATGATACTGTCAACACAATATCCAGCAATCGTATTAAGTGGAATAAATCCGTGACAGCTTTGGATGTCTGGTCTAATCTGTATTGAGTTGAGACGAATTGAAACTATCCAGAATGTAAATTCAATAATGTGTCTCAACTATTAGTCGTTCAATGTAATTAAGGATGCCACAAGTATTCGGAATTTCACAACACCTTGACCAGTAACATATTTTGTAGTCAAAGGATGCAAACCCAGTCAAATCAGATGTCAGAAGCGAAGATGTTCGAAGATATAGCTGGTAAGCTATCGATATATTGAGAAGTGACCAATCTAAGTTCGTTAGCGGTCGTAGATGTGAAACACGACGTCTCCACTCGTGATATGTTGTGGATGCGTGACCGAGGGCCTTCAGCTTTGTGAATTCAGTAAAACTAATGCGACCAGCAGCAAATGTCGAAGACTTACAGAGCTATTCATTTTGGGGGATAATGGACCACAACCAACAGATGGATAACTAGATAGATAGACAATTAAACAAGGGGATACGGTAAAGGTTCGTGTGTGAGGCATTCGAATTAACCAAACACCTGAACGCAAATAAATCAATATTAACCGAACTAAGGCATTTGACAGTCACAAGTGTAGTCAGATATCGTATTCCAAAATGACCTTACAGTGATGCAGATCGTATATGCTTGTGTTAATTGCCGTAGTCAACTCCAGATTGTATAGCATTCTATTTGAAACATGTTGCAAACTATGCAATTCCCCTTCGGATATGTTCACTAAGAACCTAGTTGTCAGTTTCGTATCATACCAACTTAGTAATATCTCTGCCTCCTACCTGAGGTTATCAGCGATCGCTTGATGATACACACATAAACTCGTTAAACGTAAGTTTCATCTGTTCCGTCCAGTCATATTAACAATCAATTGGGCATTGAAAGTCCCGTACTGAAACCAAATAATGCGCTTCTAATTCAAGAGGATGGCTAATAGTTTGTTGAGATTTGACGCTCACAGCATTTTAAATTCATTTGGACATAGTACGACGTCGCTGTTCTAGGTAAATAGTTCTTCTGGTTGGACTGTTCTGTTATGAAGTAAGTATTTAGCGGGCGTGTTTTTTGTTGCTTAAGTGTAGTGCTCTGTTTACCATAATTTTCAGATCACTTCATATTTATAGATAAAATGTTCCAAATACCTCTAATATTCACTCCCCTAGAGTCAGCCTTATCATCCTGAATAAGGGTTTAAGAAGTAATAAATCACCACGTGGTGACTCGACTGACTCGAATATCTATATTAGTCTTAAGCAGCATTTCCAGAACGATGATATATGTAAAACGCTAACAGCCACATGTGGATCCTAAGTACGATTGAACTATGTTTGTAATGAACTGTGCAACTGCTGTCTAACGGTAGTGTCTATCTTTTATTGGGATGGTTAGCTTCTCCCTGCCCCAATCCCTGGATCATAATCATGTAGATCTCTGGTAGAGCTGTTGTATATAGTAGGTAAGTAATTAAACATTCGTTCCCAAACTATGGTGTCTGACTGTGTGCCGTACTATTTTGATATTCCTATTTTTCGGCTGTCTCGTAGAACTGGTTAGTGTAGTCATGGGGTTTCAAGGACACTTACCACCAGCTTAACACTTCAGATTTCACTACCGTATCTTGTTTTATGCTATTCACAATAGCTGGCGATACTAATTTAACTGCGTCCGGTGCCAAATTTTGTTGCAATCTATGGTTGTTATATGCCTGCTTCGATTTCAATGGCAGCTATAATCACCGTGTTTTGTCTAAAAACATAGACGATACTGGGTGCTAGGGTTTCTAGCAACATTTGCATCTCGTACATCTTCACCTTAAGTATTTCACCCAGAAGACCTATATGACTAAGATCAAAAGTAAGTAGGAACTGTGATCAATACCGTTTATAAAACCGTCTGCTCCTAAGTTCTTCAAAACTCGATACCACACTATCCTATATCCCTCTCATGTACTGACTCGGAGGAAAGTGAAACGAAAGTTTTGTAGCGCCAAGTTGTAGAGAGTGCTTGCAAACTTCAGATATTGATGTGCTCTCAATGAAAAACTAAGTTGTAATTTTATATTGCAATGATCACGTAAAGCTTAATGTCACTTTTTATGAAGTACTTTTTCATAATATCTAGTAATCTAAACTTCGATGCATTCAGTAGCGAAACACGTTATGCTACGAGTAACGCATCGTTTCAGGTTATTACATTGAATACAATGGCATCTTGGTACTCTTTCGTTTTTGTGAAAGCCTAATAAGTCGAATTATCGTGTTCCAGAGCGGTAAGAGAAGTCATCTAAAAGTAAAAACAAGACAAGGCAGTAGTAACTGTAAAGTGTTGGGATAGCCTTACAACAAAACTTTGTAATAAGTTTATTGTACATGGCTAATCTTTGGTTTCCTATATTTCGGCTTTTCTCTATTGATCTGTATGTATGACCGATTCTAACCAAGTAACGTCCATTTATGCTCATGTGTTTAATCAATAAATAATGACCTCTCAAAGTAGGTCATTTTGTATGATTGTTTTGCAGTAATATTTTTTTCTTGGAAACTTTATTAGCAAAGTGAAAAGCGTATAATATGAATTCACTAACATCCTTTATTAAGAAATTATGTTTAATGATTATTATTTAGTGTAACTTATTTTTTAAAATGTGTTTTTGTGGTACATACACTACCTACACTATATCTTATAGTTTACCAGAATTTATTATCATGAACATCATCCTAACGAGTAAAATTGGTATCTTATAATTAACTCTTATTCATATCTTTTTTTCATTACAGCCCCTTATCACAGCAACATAGTGTAGCTAGTATTGGAAGCTTGTTGGGCAATTTGCCTTTACAAGGAGATTCAAGTTTACAACAAAAAACTCCACTTATCCCTGGGGGTTCAGTCAATCTTAACTTACATGCATCTGACAATGCCGCCAGTATTCCAGGCAGAACACCTTGTACTCCGCTCACTTTATCCACCCCGTTGCAAGACCGAGATGGTGCAATCCCGGTACCCCAATTACAGTAAGTTCAGCCAATTAAAACGTCGTTTAATGATTCCAAGAAATTTCGTCTTCTAGTTCTACAACAAGTAACCTGAAACTTGTGATGGTACATATGTATGTACGAATTGTTCATTAATTAGAGTTGTCAATCGGTCCAAGTTGCCACACCTCTTTAGAACAATAGGATGAACACTAAACTCATATGAGTAGTTACATCAGTGGCAGTAATATATAAAAAGTAAGGTTGTGTATAAGGGTATAGTACAAGAAGAAAGAATTAGTTGGCATAAAGAAAGATAGAAAGCAATTTTGGTCTCACATTTCAAGGGAAGACAGAGTGTATATACATACACCACTGTGATCGATTCTGAGCCATGTCATCCAAGGTCTCCAACCATTGGTTACGATAGTCATGGGGACTCCAACCAAGTAGTCTTCATCTACCAACAATGTTCACACCAGAAGTCAATGACTTCAAGGGCTGATGCCACGATTTGGTCTGGCCCCTAACTTTCTTCCATTCGTCTTCAACACTAATCAGCATCGCCTGTCGTGGTAATCGGTGTTTAGGCATACGCACCACGTGGCCCAACCCTCTCAGTCAATGAAGATTTACATCATCAACTGATTTGCCATCATTCCCTAATACCTTGCATCTAACCTCACTATTACTTACCCAGTGATCCCAGCAGATGTGAGCAATATTTCTAGGACATCTGTGGTCAAATACTAGTAACTTACGAGTATCTTCCACCCTTATTGACCATGTTTCGTAAAGTAGAACAGAACAAACTTGCGCAGTATAATCGTCCCTTAATTGATAGACGGATATCTCGTCTTCGCCGTAGGTGACGTAAGTTGGTAAAAGCCAAATGAGCTTTTTGAATCCGTGCAGAGATTTCGTCAGACACCAACCCATTAGGGCTGATCAGACTTCCAAGATAAGTGAAGTTGTCGACCAGTTCGACTACTTCACTCCCTATCCTTAGTTCAGGTGTTGATGCAGACCAGTCCTGAAACAACAACTTGCATTTAGAGTGAGAGAAGCGCGTTCCAAACATTCTGGCATTGTTACTCAGTGCTACCAAAAGACTCTGCATTTTATCATCGTCTTCACAAAATAGGACAATATTATCTGCGTATTCCAAGTCGATAAGTGGACCTCATGGTAAGAGATCAGTACCCGAAAATTCAGTCGACGAGAACGTTATTTCCAGCAGTAGGTCTATGATGAAGTTAAACAGAAATGGAGATAGTGGACAGCCTTGACGGACACTACTTGAGGTTGCAAAATCAGATGACAGTTCACTAAAAGCTCTGAATCGACTAGTAGTGTTCGAGTAAAGAGCCTTCACAAGGTTTATGTACTTCTGAAGTACGCCTTTCAATGACAGACACTGCCACAGAATCTCGCGGTCTACCGAGTCAAATGCTGCTTTTAAGTCAAGAAAGATCACCATTGTCGGACGCCGATAAGTATGTCTGTGTTCTAGAACCTGACGAATGGTGAATATGTGGTCGACGCAACCACGACCAGGTCTAAAGCCAGCCTGATTTTTTGGTGTTTTCAGTTCACGAGTCTTTGTTAGGCACTTGATAATTATTGAGGCTAGTATTTTAGATATATATCAGTCAAACTAATTCATCTATGTTTATCATAGGATGATTTTGACCCCCTTTTTAAATATTGGGACAATCAGTGATTGTGACCAGTCAGATGGGATTACGTCCAACTCCCGGATTTTAACTAAAATATTAGTCACCCTAATCGCTAAAACTGGACCACCATTCTTAAAGACCTCTGGACCAGCTTCTTTTCCTCGTTTCAGATTAGCTTTTGCCTTTTGAACTTCAACTAGAGTTGGGGGACCTACTTCAATGTTCCATTCACACTGTCTGGTAATGGTGAGTAGTTGTAGAGTAGCTGAAGGCCAGTTGAACTGCTCCTTAAAGTGTTCCGCCCATCGTTCTAAACGTCTGGGCTGAGAGCAGATAAGTGTCGTCTTTTTCCGAGATCGTCTCATCTACATTTAACTTCTTGATCCCAGTTTCTTTTATTAGTCTGGAAAGCTGTCTGGTGTTACCTACAGTCACCGCCTTCTTCATCTCTTGCTTTCCTTGCCCACTACTGCTCACGGTCGTTCCTTAGACTTCTGGTTAACCTAGATCTGATTTGTTTTCATTCTTCATGGTGTTCAGAGCCTGATGGGATAAGTTTACAGGAAACCATCAGTGCAACAGACTTAGTAGAAATCCATTGGTTTTTTTTAACCCTTTGGTTCAAATCACTAACAGATGTCACTGCTGTTCGTTTATCTTTTCAAGCAACATCTGGGTCAGCCTCGTTTTCAGAACTACCTAAGTGTGACCTCAGTTGTTCCCGGAATTTACTTTCGGTTTTCTCGTCACTGAGTTCAATTCCGACGGGTCTTCTTTGTATAGTTTTTCTGCGTCCAGTGAGGCGCATGATCGGAGTTCAAACAAGTATTCAAGAACGAGTGTCAGTCTTCTGTCAATCCTCTCCAACAATGACTAATGGCAATATGGTCTATTTGAGTCCATCGTTGGTTTGGTGTAGGAGGTCACCATGTTAGACCATGCCTCTCCTTAAGCTTAAAATTAGTGCCTGCTAAAAATAAACGACTGTCTGAGCACAGTTGCATCAGACGGTCACTATTATCTGTTCGCTGAGCCGGAATGCTAAAATACCCACCTAAATGTCTTCCTGTTTGGTTTAAGCTACCCACCTGTGCATTAAAGTCCCCTGCTATAAGTACTATGCCTGAGTATATATGAAGAAGTACAGAGAGCTTTCTGTAAAAGTAATCTTTTATTTCATCCAGGCTGCAGTCAGTGTGAGCGTAGACAGAAACGATGAAAAAACAATGATGTGTGTCCTTATCCTTCCGAGTTCTTACGCAGCCGTTTATCCGAACCGCACATAGGCGACTGTTAACAAGGATCCATTCTAGTAGTGCTTGTTCTGCCTTCGTACTTAATGCTATGCCTACACCTGCCAGTGCACGAGAACTAGCCATCGGGTCAACAGATACACGGAGGGTGTATCTCGTCGGCTCTCCATTTTGGCGAGGTGAGTTCAAGTGAATGACCAGACTAGGATCCTGTATGTGTGTTTCGGAGACACAGCATACATCAATGGTACGAGATTCTAGGGTTTTAACCAAGGAGGCCTGTTGGCCGATTTCACACAGGGTACATACGTTGAAGACTCCAATGCGCAGTTGGAGTAAGGTTTCAATAGGTCTGAGATAGTGTTTCGCGCACTAGAATCGTTGGATATGGTGGCACTTGAGGAGGAAGCGAAAAGAGGAAGTTTAGTGTTGTAAGGAGGAGGAATGATGAGAAGTGAAGAGGAAGATCGGTCATGAATACAGTGATCTTGAGTGCTGTTAGAGGTATGAGGGTGGTTATCACTTCGCGGTTGCTCACACCGTGGAAGGGCTCCTCTGGAGGTACCTGAAGAGGAAATTGGTTTAGAGGTGGTTTTAGTGACCTGAAAGCGTGACCTCAGTGCCCAAGAGACAACTGCTCGAGGTTGGTCACGTACGACCTTCTTTGAGTAGTTTTCGTGTTAGCTCCGTACTTGTTGAGACCTTACCACCGGAGAAGGATATCCGTGGGATAAGGCGAGGTGTGTATTTTTAGGGTCGACCCTTTGTAACCCCACCCCTCCTTGTGGGAGGGTAGCATCGCTGCTACGCTGGTTGTTTGAAGGAAACACCTTACTTCCATCACACCTCCGCACAGTCAGCAGTACGACTTCGCCCTTGGACCTTGGGTTTGCTGCTTTTAGTATTACCACTCTTCAACCGACCTGTCTGACATGGTAGGACCTTGAGGAACGATTGTTCCAGCCAGTATAGCTCGATTGGTTAGTTGCGATAAGCAAGCCCGACCACCACGCCTAGGTGGCAGCAACGGTCGAGTAGAGTAGTTGTAATAGTCATCATATTCCGCTCATAATTACGTACTGACCTCTCAAAATAATACCACATGTTGGCCTATTTTATCTACGATATACTCTTGGCAACCGAGATCGATGCATATATGTACCGGGTTCTACGTTTCTTAATCGCAAAGATTTAACCAGTTGGTCAATGTTTCTGTTTTCTGAAACTTGGTTGATTGGGATCTTGAAATTAGTTTATGAAGAAACTATCTGTTTAAATGTTTCAGTTATCGTTTTTATTTAATTAGATTAGTTATCTCATTATAATATTCTTATAGATTTTCCACTGTATTGTACTACATTCCTATTATGGTCAACTTAAATGTCATGTTCTTATCTGCTCAGTGACTTGAAATGATGACTAAAAATATTTGTCGAATCGACGTCGAAAATCAATCAATAGTGAACAGCTTTGTTGTCATTTCCTCAAGTTTATTATAATCCACAATCTGTAATGTTCTTATGATCTAAATATAGTCTGCCATAAAACATATCATTGAGAAAATCTTATTAATGTGTAAATTGTTCAGAATCGTTCTCCATGGTACAGGTGTATTCAGTCTTTGTCTTCTCTTAGATTCTGAGTCCTGAAATCTGCTTATATTATATTTCTTCGTCCTACGCCAAATGTTTTCTTCCACTGATACTGTTACCACTCTTGGATTTTTGATAATTATATCTCATTGTGGCAGTGTGATGTTGCAACTTCTTGGGCCGACGCATATGCATGTCAAATCTTACATTGAACATGACTGAGATAAAATATATATTTCAAATGCAGAACAACAAAGTTGCTCAAATATAAGAAAATATTGGGAGTAGATAATAATAATGATAATAATAACAACAAGTACTTAACTGCAATCGGTTTTCGATCGTCATACCTAAACTTCTCAGCTGGTATTTCCAATTAATTTACATATTTGGTGATGTCAGGGTATGCTTTGTCCATGTGACTTCAATGTAAGTGTAAATATTATCAGAATGGGTTTTGTGGAGATTTTTAGAAATTTCACGGGTTGAAATGATGAGTCAATTGAAACTAGACCACTATGCTTCCAGGTTTTCCATGGTGGTCTAGCTCCAATTGACTCATGATTTCAACCCGTGAAACTTCTAAAAATCTCCACAAAACCCAGTCTGACAATAATAATTACCTGCTCACTAGTGACTGACTGCAGGAGACACTCCTGGAGTTCTAGTGAGAAGTCGCTACCAGTGGAATTCAACCAGGTCTGTTGTGAGATAGGAACTCACTGAAGACAATGGTGTACAGTGGCGCAACTTCGTTGATTGGTTGAGGTTAGACATTAACACCGTTGGATGCCGGCTCAATGGTCTATTTGGTTAAGCGCCTGGTGCGAGACTGGTAGGTCCTGGGTTCGAATGTCGCGGGGTGCGGGGTCGTGGATGTGCACCGCTGAGGAGTTCCATACTAGGACGAAACAGCCGTCTAGTGCTTTCAGGTTTGCCATCGTGGTCTAGCTTCAATTGACTCATGATTTCAACCAGTGAAGTAAGTGTAAATAATTTCGTTAATTCTTTTCACACTTTGTTCTGACTATATTACTTATTTTACTAAAAAAGATGGATAATATGCGAGATCAGTGATTTGATCACTTTATGGTCAATTAAGTATTATTTACCATTAATATTGATACACTTCTATCTTAGTTAATTAGTTTTTACTTGTTCTTTGTTTTCAAATAAGGAATATTGTATGTACCGTATATTTAGGATGTAAATTAAATTTGAAGAATATAGCACTTAGTGCTCGAAATGCTGAATATAATCCAAAACGTTTTGCTGCAGTTATAATGCGTATACGTGAACCTCGAACAACTGCTTTAATTTTTTCTTCTGGTAAAATGGTGTGTACAGGTGCAAAAAGTGAAGAGCAAGCAAGACTAGCTGCAAGAAAATATGCTCGTATTATTCAAAGGCTTGGATTTGAAGTAATTCTGTCATTGTATTATCTATTGTATGCAGTGTCTTTTTTTACTATCCGTTTACATTTATTTATCAGGTTGAACTAATCACCATATACAGGATGTACCATATAAAATATGTAATTTTCAAATTGAACTAGGTGGTCTTCATAGAAGGATAATCCCTGAGCCTCTGACGTAACGGTTAGATCCGCAAGGTCGATATTATGGCTTCCCCGACAGTTTATAAACGTTTAGTCGTATAAAAGCATTTCGAGAAGTAAAGCGAACTCTCCTCACCCTCAGCTGTACCAGGGTGTTTAAGAGCAATTTATTACATTTCTACATATTTGCATTTTATTTGCAGTTGAGTGGATGTGTTATAAAGTCACTCTGGTGTTCGACTCGTTTTTTATTACCTTGCTGTGAAAATTGGTGTTTAAAAGTTAGCGGATCAAAGATCCTGTAGAACCATTGCTTTTGCATAGTAAAACCACTAACGAAATAATACCCAAGTTAAACGTAGAGCACTGATTAGAAAATTATTTGTTGGAAGGTTTGTAAAACATCTTCCTAGCTGGTTAAGCTTGTGTTACACACACTCATCCACAACTCACTCCGAGATACTATGTTGGCTAACATAGAATGTATGTCTGGAAGAGACTAGATACCATCAAACTGAAATGTCATAAGGGTGGTATGTGATTTATGCTCTATTAAAACAATTTCCACAGGGTTTATGTAACTTAATATGATTTATTTTAACTGTGTTGATTAGACTGTCTGAATATCAAACATTGAAATTAATAATTCAGTAACCTAATTACTTCCATCGAATATTCTCGGTATTATTCTTTGCTAATTAATCGTAGGTTAATAATCCTGCTAATCAATTAAATGTAACGGACTAGGAAATTAGTAAAGTGAATCAATTGTAGTCTACGATTATTTCACAATTGGAAGTGACATTGAAGCTACTCACAATTAATTTAGTAGTGAAAACGGTAGTTTCGTTTTGTCATCCATCCATGTCTTTTTTGATCTCACATAATCCTTGTACTGTCTTACTCCATAAAGTTTGCATCATGACAATAATCAACTATAATTTATATTCGTTTATAATGTAAAGTAATGTGTTTCAGGCTCATTTCAAAGAGTTCAAAATTCAAAATATGGTTGGTTCATGTGATGTCCGCTTTCATATACGTCTTGAAGGTTTAGTATTGTCACAAGGTCAATTTGCAACGTAAGTTCTTAAGGTTTTTTTTCTTTTACTTAATAAGGATATTTTTTGTGGCAACTCAAAGAACAATAGCTGAACTAGTAATTAAGCCTGTTTCAAGGGAGGCACCAAATACATATGCGCCACACAAATCTCATTCGATATGTGTGAGGGCTGTGATACTGCCCGGGTGCCCAAACCGAAGCAGGTGGTTTTCTTAGGGGGCCACTCCCCGAGCCTTCGACCTGAAGGTTTGATCGACAAGGCAGTGGAGCATCGTAAAGAGATGCAGTCGCATGGTAGCCGGTGACCAACAATTGGTTCATACGCTATTTGTTCCCGCAGGATACTGGAGTCCATGTGCACCATTGATTTGGAATCCGGTTAAAGCGCCGGACATTCGCTCGTTTCAGTGTTTATTGAAACATTTAGTATTTTTCCGTCAATAAAAAACTAGACGATTTTCCTATCTGCAACTGTACAAAGTTTTTTCTCTATAATAGAATATTTACTACTACTCACAAAATCTTTCTATTCTCTATCACTTTATGTTTCAAAAGACTTAAGGTTTCTCTCATTTCAAATTGAATAAAGAAACTTGTATCTGAATACAATATTTACTATTTATTAATCATTCTGAATAATAGGATGAGAGTATAGAACCTAAATCAATACTCCTAGAATCCATTATCTGTTTCACAATATGCCATACAATTCAGAATAGCACTTCAAGTATGTGTGCTTTTACAGTTTCTTATTTGTCACTACACTCTCTTTAGGTCTTTTGGCATACTATACCCTGATTGTTTAGTCGAACGATACATAAGTAGCTGTTAAACTAATTTCCTATTTCTTTATACGCCATTTTCACTAACTTGAACTTTTTAGTCTGATAGTTGAAAGATCAATTAACCAATAAATTAGGGTGATCGGTTAAATAGGGTTGCAAGTAGTTGTATTTGTCAATTAATTTGGTTCCTTATTTTTATTATCAAATACAATTATAGGCGGTCTAAACTGCAATACTGAAAACGTTGTCTCAGTTGCTAAAGTACTTGAACAGCAGAAACGGTTGATATGGGCGGCAGTTAAGTTTTAGGTTAAAACAATCTCTGTATTGGTGTTAAATTAGCTATCCTGTTGCGGGCGAGCAAGTGACTACTCGGTACGTTTCATCTGCCCACTTTACTTTATCTAGAAAAGAATCTTAAGTGAAGAGTCAACCTAGTATTGTGAAGTTAAATTGATATAAAGCGTGATTCTGTCCATAGTCTTGACGACTGGTGTAATTTTTCGCGAGTCACTATCAGTCCGTACGTTATTCCAAAGGCCTTTATCTCTAGGACTCACTGCAATTAGCTGCTTACGTTCTACTTCGCTTTTATTTGACGGAACAATGTATAGAAACTAAAATCATAAAGTGTGCTTAATCCTGATGTTACTACTTTCTAACTGCTTCCCACAGTAAAAACGTTTCCTAATCAAATCACAAATATCCAGTTGTTAATTCCTTTATCTAAACGCATTATTCTTTCCCTGTGTTTATTAGTTTATTTAATTCGTAAAACCCACTACAACTAGGCACAAGAAATAGTTTGCACTACATAATATAGAGATAACTTAGTGAAGAAATGAGTTAAGGGGAATGCCAACAAAAAAGTCAGTGGACAATAATGGCAGATATAGTTTGGTTGATATTACAATCAGAAGACTTCTTTCTGTTAGCAAAGCTCATCTCACTCTTTTAAGAAGTTCAAAAGAAAACTACATCACGAGTTCTACTGACTCCTATTTCAAAATGTCTGGCAACTCCTCAAGTCATTAATTTGCACCATCTCTAGGGCCTAAACCAAAGAGGGAATCATGCTGGGTCGATAGATGCACTCACATTTCTTCGGTACTACTAACAATAACTAGTTCAACCAAATGGAAGTATAATGTTCTCGGGTTTAACGTGTATGTGGTAACTCTCATTAATGTTTTATCTACCATATCAAATGTCCTGAAGTAGTTTATGTCATGTTTGTCTTTGTAGTGAATCAATACAGTACATTTCGACCATATCTCATATGGATTGTTCTTTTCTAATTTTAGATATGAGCCAGAATTATTCCCTGGGTTAATTTATCGTATGACTAAACCAAAGATAGTCTTATTAGTCTTTGTTTCTGGGAAGATTGTTTTAACAGGTAAGAAAAAGTGGATTTATTTCAGTATTACATAAGAACGCAGTGGTACTATGTGTTATTGTTACTACTATTAGTATTCATGAATTTGTTGATGCAAATGAGTCCAGCAAGTATGGTTTGAAGATATGTTAATCTCCAGCTGAAACCATTGGTAGATAAGAAGAACCATATATGGCTTTAACGTTATCGTATAAGTCAAAGAATTAGCATGCTAACGACGCTACATTTTAAATTATACAAATCCTTAGTATTTTCATTAAGAGTTTGTATGGTATGGCAGACTAAGGAGCCAGTTGTTATGTTGCAGATCGGAATTCGTTAGGAGTGGTCATCCAGCTATGCCATAAAATTAGGACTTGTGCTCGGGAAGCTATAGTCAAACCATCGTGTCAGAATCCAGTCATCTGTATTCTCAACTTCAAACAAATTTATTCCAGGGCAGCACATCATTATTTACTCTGACTGAAGCTACACATCTACTTACAGCTAGGGAAAGCCAAACCAAAATGTGGTATCAATGCATAAAGTCAGTGACTTCCAATCTAAGGTGTTTTCGTAGATGCAGACATCTGATTGGAGTCGGTATACTTACAGTGACCAGTGACAATACAGATCCACTTTTTTTACTCTCAGATTGTGAATGTCAAAATCATCTTGTGCCTTATTCCGCGAATCACCTTTAACACCAAAGCTTTGTACTACCACCAATAATAATACTTTAGTATTCATATTTCGGTGTTTATGTAATGTAGAGACTTCGACCAAACATGTGCTAGGTTCCACAAGCTTAGGACTGCCTGAAAGAAGCTAAAATATTACTTCAGATGAATGTGATAACAAGCGTCAATATTTTATTAAATCCATAGTGCTCGTGCCTAAATCTAGCCATTTAGTGCTTCATAAATTCCAGTCATCATATTTTCAGAATTGTTCTGTTATAAATATATTGATTAAGATGGACAAATTAATGGAGGTGGATGATAGTTTTTATTAGCCTCGTGATCATCAACTAGACACAAACACTGAAGACTACAGCACTGAGTAATTGTCGTTTCAGTTTGTGACTTCTCACCAACGACACTGTCAACATCAGTTCAATATATTTAGTATTATCCTATTTAATTGAGGATAGGAAAAAGCTAACTAAAGAATGTTTGACATTAATTTGAATAGCACTGAAAGACCAAGTTTTACTAATAACTCATTACTATCTATAGATTTATGTACTCGGTTTCTAGCCACTTCAAGTCTAAGACCTAATGATAATACTCGATTATTCAGACCTAAGTAATTAAAGTTATGGTCAAGACTGTGGTTGGAAGTCGAACATCGTAATCACTGACCAAGTACATGTTCACATACAAGTGCTTACTGCTTAAGCTGAAATAGGTAAAGAGGTTTTTGTGAAACTTGCAATTCAGTAGATACAGGCTAAATACTTTCACTGCTAGTTGTACATTTATCATACACACAGTGACCCAGGGAAAATCAAGGTGCGAGAATTAAGTTATCCTACAGCTATTAGTGGTACAGTGATATACTTTACCAATCAACCCTAAAACTATCTTACTCAATTGAATATGTAGTTAATTGTCTATAAAACTACTAACATTATTATATGTATTTTATTTCTCTTTTTATTATTATGTAGGAGCAAAGGTTCGTGAAGAAATTTATGAAGCTTTTAATAACATTTATCCAATTTTGAAAAATTTTAAAAAATCTGACAAAGATCCTAGAGCTCTCACATCATCATCAAATTATATGCACCCATTAACTTGAACTAAATATAAACGTTCAGTTGTTCTTCGCCAGGATGTTTTTTTTTCTTACTGTCTTTCTTACTAAGATTTAAAGTAAACCGACATCGTAAGATACTTTTTTTTTCTCAGCTTTTACCAATTGAATTAGTTATACTAACAGCATTAAAACTTAACTCTATGAAACAACAAATTGTATTTTTTTTTTCAAAATTCATGGTTTATTTGAACATTCGACATATGAAGATTTTCTGTGCATCCCTTACTATTTTTTTCAAGTGTTTCTTTATTATCTGTTGACATTTAATTTTTGACGTCAATAGTTTTTGAGTATTGTATTTGCTGTCATTGTGTATATTATTAAAATTAGTAGTATTATTACTACTTGTTGACTTATTTTACAGTGTATAAGTACAGTTTAATGTACTTGACCGTGAACCACACAATAAAAGAGATGATAGCAACCCCGATGGTTAGAGACCCTGAATGACATGGCTCAAAATTGTTTGCAATGGCGCAGGTGCATACACTCTTTGTGTTCTCCCAAATTTTGATCTCATCATTCCTCCTTGTCTTTTTTTTTCTCTTCCCAAATTTATTTCACTGTATTATACTCTTTAAGTAACATCTCCAAACACTAATCTTCCCGATTACTGCTTATACTCTTATTACCTCTACCACTACGGGATTTGAATCGACCACTGCATCTCTGTGCTAATGTGGTGTGGCAACTCGAACTAATGTACGTACGTACGAAGTTCTACGTTGTTACTGACTGACTAACACAATAAGAGCTCGTTATTTTATACAATTTTACAAGCCAAAGTCGGTGTAACAAGTCTCAAACTGATGGGCTAATGATTAGAAGTCAGGTTATGCAGCTAACAACCATTACGATAATGATAGGGAAAATAGTAAGGCGATTTCAGTGTGTAGGTAAAAGACCCTATTGTTTCGAATGATGGTATCCTACTTGCGACGTCATTAGTAAATAAAGGCATTACAAAATGTCTCAAGAAATTGTCTATACAGTTAATTATTAACAATGTAAGGCTTATCAGAGATCTATATTACTTCGGCTTGAGACATCTTATATCAGCAGACAATCGGTACTATATGACAATAAGGGTTGATCACGTAGGCCAGTAATTGACCAGTCGGTAGTCGAGGGAGCCGCCTCAGCTCCTGCCAACTTTCTGAACTTGTGGTAAAAGCGAGATATTAGTTTGCCGACCCAGGGGTGTTTTCGGTATTATGGCTGTAAAGTCCACTGAGCTCACAGGACATCCACAGTTTTCTGTTACTTGATCCTAGCTGTCTTCGAAGGATTGCTCGCGTATACCTAAACGACCGATTGGGAATTATAGGCTAAGTATTAGGTCCTTTAAAATCAGGCTAGCGGCTTGAGAGATAGTCTAGATTAGCATAACCCGCCCTGACATTCCTCAAATAGGTCGATTTCATGAGACGAGCCAGCACTAGTCTTCGCAACTGCCAGATACATTAACTTAACGACAACTGACGGTTCGGTGCAGAACGTGTAGGCACATATTCGACTACTCTCAATTTACTTATTTAGGCACAAAATACATGCAATACGGACATGTATGAAGAAAACTAGGAATAGCAAAGTTAAAAAATACTTGCGCCTACTGCTTCCAGTGGAGCATAGGGCAGTTAATGAGGTCACTAGCCAAACCTGCAGTTTCAGACTGTTGAGTCTGGATATGCGCGACCGGTAAGCTCTAGCTAAATATTCACGAATCAACCAGCACCAAACATTTAGTCTCAATATTATGTCGTTTCTCGGAACCATTCTGTAGAATCTAATTTTTGGTATGTAGATTTGGGTCTTGTTTCCAGAAATTTGTTAGCTGCTATGTCGACGCAAACCCAAAGCCAGCACCATCAGGTAGCTTGAATATGTTTATAGGAAAGTCCTAGAGCTCGGTCTCGTGCGAACTTCAACACTGGGTTGCAGGTACATCCGCCTAATGAGTCTCCGATCAGACCGAATTCATATCAAACCCCACTATCTATCACATAAAAAAATACACTCAGACTTGTGGCGACCCTATGACAAAGTTATTTGACATGGACACGGTGGCAGGAGGCTATACATTGCAGTCCCGAATATCGACCAAAAACTGTGAACCCTATCCACTAGATTCTCGTGTCTGTTTATTACTACCATTGATACTTTTGTCATCCAAAATTCCCTAGCAGTTATTCTTTTATACCACTGATGTTTCGCCCCCGGTGATTATGGTCAACGCACAGCTGTCAGGTTTCAGTTAAAAACCGATGGCTTTTTGCTATGTTATTACTGGTTTCCACTTTTCAAACCGCTTATAAAAGACGCTTAAATTTATCTACCGATTAACGTTACCATTATTCTGAACCAACAATTGTAGTTTATTTCGACAATCAGGCCGACGATGCACACCAAATGGCTATTAATGTGCCTGATCAAAGATCAAGACAATTACCAGCAAACAGAATATTCTTGCTCTATTGTCGAGATTATCACAACGACTGTACCCCATAGATAGATCAAACTGAATCCATACCCATGTTTCAAGAGAACCCTGACCCGACATTTCAAGGTACATCAAACGCAGTATTTGAAAAAACTTAAATATTAAGTACGCACAATTTTATATCTTTTTAGGTAGCTCTTAACAGATGGACAGTTTTACTTAAGTGACTAGCAATTTTACAACCGACTAACAAGAATGAACAGAGCTAACTTGGTGAGCAGTTAGAAGCAATGCTAACAGCAATATATGAGGACCATATAGATATGCCTACGTTTTGTTGTACAAATCTGGACTATGATGGATTATGTTAAACAGGGTACAACAGGCTGATTAAACCCACAAGCCATCAACGGATACTAGCACAAACGTTCGGGAAGACATTCAAAACATAATTACCACAAAAATATGTATTACGAATTACGACTCAATAGTTTCTTCTGTGTATTTATTTTTGTCTTGTCCAGCTAGTTTTCCAGCAGCTTTGCGTTCCAACAATGAGCGGCGATCTTTATCCAACTTTAATTTGTGTATCACGACCTAGAGAACATGAAAATAAAATAGACGCTTACATTGGATGGGTGAATGCCGATAGGTGCATATGCGCCATTCATTTTACGACATTGGAGCCTCTCGATATGGATTACATATTTTTTTCGGTAGACACGGATAACCTTTGCAGGATTGAGGTCCTTTCGCTCGCCTCGAACAATCTGTACTTCATCACCTTTGCGGATGGGCATACTCCGAACTTTGTACTTAGATCGGAGCTCTTTCGACAGAGGAGCGCTCATAAGCCGCCGGCGAATGTGAGAAGGGGCGTTGAAGTAACGTTTACGGGCTTTACGACGTGAGCTACTAACATGCTTATTAAACTTCATCTCCTATCAGTCACGCTCGACAGCACAAACACCCGCGTCGAACTACTAACTGTTCAATTACCAATACTTTGCTTTATCCGTCTATCGAACCAATATTTAGAAATTTTGTGATATGACAGAGGAATGTGCTTTTTATATCGTTATGTACTCAACTATTTTGACTAATCACCATTTGGAAAGGTCGATAGTTTTCCAATAGGTTGACCCACGATTATCCGGTGAAGATCTGGTATTCTTCCTAAAAATGTTTATTTGTGCAATCGATGCCTTTTTATTGGTCAAGGAGTTAGAGCTGGTGAACGATCAACGAATAAAACTAGATCACGCCCTTGATTTATTTGATATCAGCTATAAACATTTTCTCATTAGTCATCGTGGTTATATATGGATATTTGACTACACTTGTGACTTGTCAAGTTCAATATTTCGGTTAATATTGGTTTATTTGCATTCAGGTATTTGCCTTATTTGAAGTCCTCGTACATGAATCTTTCCCATGTCCCTTTTTTGATTGTCTGTCTATTTAGTCATTCATCTGTTGCTTACGTTTCATTATTATATTGAACGATTATTACCTGATAAACACTAACTGATTTACATTCCAAACAGTTTCGATTCGTTTCAACACAGAGCAGATTAGACCAGTCATCCAAAGCAGTTAGATTTATTCCACACAATACGATTGCTGGATATTACGTTGACAGTATTATTCCCATTCTAATAAAACTGCGTGTGATTTATGGTATCAGTGTCAATATAAATTCAATGCATTAGTGAAGAGGTTTAATCCTGATGTTGTTCCGGAGACATACCTAATATTTGATGAAATTGTGTCTACTCAGTCCTATTACACTGTTGTGGTAAATAAATCCCCAAAATAAATAGCTCTAAGTTTTCGGCATTGGATGCTGACCATATGTTTTAGTGGACTCATCTAGCTGAAGGCGCTCGGTCATGCATCCGCACCAGATCACGTGTGGTAACGCCGTGCTCAACATCTACCGCAATCGCTAGCCAGATTAGATCAGAGAATTCCGATATATTGGTAATCGCCAAATACACTCTTCCAATCTCCTCGACTCTGTCTTTTGATTTCTCTGGGTGGGAATGAAATATATTAGAAGGTGTTACTGGTAAAAGCGTTTTCAAACACTGAATACCTGTGACATCATCAACACTTTGGTAGTTTGTTACCAATGTAAACACTAGTTGGTCCATGTAATTTCACATATGTTCATGAACATTCGTATTCTAGTTCTCACTTGATTCATTTTTTCTCGGTCACCGTGTATAAAAATGACGAATATATTAAAAATCCACCGTTTTCCATCCTACCTCAATGTGAATTTGGATTTTTCGGAAGCATTAACATTTTATTCTGATTGAAACCTTTCCTCAAATGCAATACAACGTCAGTGAAAAGTTATATTTTGGGAGGCCCTTCACAAAGAACATCAGTTAACTGCGGTCGAATGGAAACAGCTTCAACTGAACGTATAGCGTTTATAAACTTGCCGGTGTAAGAGCTTAGATTCATATTTATTGACGAAGATGAGAGATCTACAAATCGTTTTGAAAGTTGGGGTGTGGTTCCGTAAACGAGT